CGCGCGGCGGTTTTCTGCCCGCCGTGCGCCCCGTGGAGCGCGGCGGTTTTCTGCCCGTCGTGCGCCCCGAGGCGCGCGGCGGTTTTCTGCCCGCCGTGCGCCCCGAGGCGCGCGACGGGTTTCTGCCCCGTCACTCGGCGCGTCGCCCCCGGGAGGCGCTGCGACGGGCGACGGAGGGGGCCCGCGCGTCGCCCTCCGTCGCCGCTCCTATCGGCCCGGAACCGCCGCCAGCGGCCCCGTCGTCCCGCCGCCCTACCTGCGGCCGAGTCGCCCTACCTACGGCCCAGCCCCGTCGCCCTACCTACGGCACCGCCTCCCCCCCCCCCCCCCCTCCTTTTCCCGTCGCCCGTCGCGGCTCCTTCGGGGGCCGCCGCGACCTGGGGGGTGGCGGGTGTGTGGTCTCCCCTGCTCCTCCTCCTCCTCTGTCTCCCACTGCTGCAGCTACCACTAAGGGGGGTGGGTATGTGGGATTCGACGGAGTGGTGCTAGGGGGTGGGGTGGGAGTGGAGCTAGGGGTGTAGCAGCGGGTGTGTGTCAGGGGGAGTGGGATCGTTCGGGGAAGCTGAATGGAGGTTGCCGTCATGTCGCCAGCAGCACCTGTATTCCGGGGAATTGCTCCGGTAGCCCAGTCGTAGCCAGCTGTGCCAGTCGCCCGTGGGTCCGTTGCTCGTCTGCCGCTACTTTAGCCGCGGGGCCAGTTACTCCAGTAGTCCGGAGCGTTGTTCCGGTAGCCACTATGCCAGTGTGTCTCCTGTTGCCCGTGTGTCTGCAGCTTCAGCCGTCACCTCCTATCTCCTCTCCTCTCACTCTCTCTCCTCCTCCTCACTTGCCCATAGTGACTACCACTAGCTTTGCTCATAATTGTGAACTTAAACTATTACTTCTTGCACTTGTGCTCAGAATGTGTGGTGACATTGTGATCCACCCTGAGCTTATTCTGCTTTGCTTGCTCTGCTGATTATACCCCACTTCGGCTATGGGGGTGTGTCAGACTATTATGCTCTAGCCTGTAGTGGGGTGCTCTATAGCGAGTACAACCCTTCTAGGGTTTGCTATTTGTATCCTCATTCTTGCTAGTGCAACCCTCTTCTTTCTTCTAAACTTTTCACAGGCCCCGCCCTCGCTTGGGCAACGCCGACGACTTGGTTGGATGTACGGGAGTAACACCCGACCGTTCACAGTGGGAGAGCTGCTCGACAGGCTTCGTTGAGCTGCAGGGGACCGCTTGCGGAGAATAGGCGATTATGGGAGAGCCTAGGCGCAGAGTTGCGAAGCGGATGCTTGTAAATCGAATACGGACTAGTTGGAAAACGAATAGTGATGCCAAGGTTGGTATGCAGTAACTGAAAGAACAAAATGGATCAATTGATTATATTGATAGATTACAATAGAAATACGATGAACCTTATAGAGAAACATAGTGACGTGTGCAAGAACGTTCTACGAGAACGTTGTTCATGAAGAACGTTGTTCAAGGAGAACGTGCAAGCACCCACTCTAGAATACGGTTCCAGGCTGGCACCGCCAGGTGAAAATACCATCAGGTGAAAATACCGTCAGGTGTATTTCTACCTGCCGAGGAGTAGTTGCGCAGGTTCTTGCAACACTAACAGTTGCACATACGCGTTTGTGCAATGTCGTCACTTCCCTGGTCCAATGTCGAAATGTACATACCGAAGTGCACAGATTGGAGTGTACTTGGCGAATACCGCAATACCGGTAAAATCGGTATGCGGTATGCGAAGCCTCGCTACTCCGCATAGGGCTGCTACACGCGAAACCAGACGCATGCAAGGCTTCGCCTTAACACCGCTGTGGTGTTGCTGTCGACCAGGAAGCTCGACAGCTGCAACTGACTGATCTGGGCGACGGTTGGGACGTCGACCAGGACCTACATCTCGACCGGGAGGTCTTCGGAGCATCCCGTCGACCTGCCGTTCGACCGGAAGGTCTCCGGAGCATCCCGTCGACCTGTTGTTCGATCGGGAGGTCGACGGAGCAGTCCGTCGACCAGACAAGTGAGCAGCGGTCGACGAGGGAAGCTCGGCGACAACCGCTGACGGTTCTGGTCGACGGAAGGGGTCCGTCGACCAGGGAGTAGCTCGACGGGAGTTGTGGTCGACCAGAGGGACTCGAGGTCGACCAGAAGCAGTGGTGGTCGACCAGAAGCACCTGGTGGTCGTCCGGATCGACCGGGTAACCTGCTCGACGAGTTCTGCGGAGGCACGCGAACGTCGAGGTCGCGATGGCGAAGGCGACTGCGGGCTGGTATCCCTAAGTCGATGTGGCTCGTCAGGCGCAGACAACAGCCGACGGATGCCCAACGAGGCAAGTCGGGCCAATTGTCTGCGCGCACCTGCGAGCGTGCGCACTGATGTATTCTACGGGGCAACGCTGGACAGCTGCTCTGCTGCAGCGTTGGCACGGCGTCGACCTGCTTTGTTGGCAGGTCGCCTTTCCGCAGTGCTGGCGCGGCTCCTCTACGCAACGCTGGCAGGCGATCGACCGAGCTGTGCTGGCGGTCGACCAGGCTAGCTGCAGGGTTGCTAGGTGCCCGATGTAGTCATTCTGTCATTCCTTGTTCAATTATTCTGTAATTCCAACTTTGCTAGTGGAAAATCTTGCTGATTTCTCTCGTGAATGTGCAAGCACTGAGGAACCAAGCAAAGTTACAATCACCTCTAGTAGTTCGTGCCAATCCCCGTAGTCTAACTCACTACCGTTGTAGAGTGACTCTTCGTATGTGCTGCTCCTATCACTACGGCATCCTTCCATATCCCCCCCCCCACCGAGGGGTAATACACTAAAAAAACAGGGAAGCTAGGAAAGTAGCTCTGATACCAAGTGTTATGAGTTTTACTAGACAGAGTGCGCAGAAGACTTCTATAAAGAGAATGAATTACAGAATGATCAAGAATGATAAAGGAGCACACATTTATACGGTCGAGACCGTGCTAGGCGAGGACCTCGGGACGTGGATGGGTTGGATGTGTCGCGATTGGTGCGGGGCAACTTGGCATTGGTTCGGCGCGGAAGTGTAGGCCGAGCCACCTGACGCGAAGTGCTTGGGCTGTCCTCGCTAGGAGCAGCCTCTACAGTAATGAATTGTGTATTCATTACAAATTTTCCCTTTTCCGCTCACTGAGGTCAAACTGTATCTCTCAACGGAATCGGGGGTGACGCTCCGTTTTTGCCAGGGGTTTATTTTTTTTGCCCTGGGCAGTTTGTCGTTTTGTCGAAACGACTTTGTCGTTAGCGCGCCTGCTACATTCCGCTGAGATATACTATGCTGTTGTCACGAACAGCATCTGGTAACAGACGACTTGCAGGCGACGCCCTGCGATTTATAACAGTAGGCACCTACGACTTCACCAAGGCGCTCGTCAACCAATTGACTGTTGAATGGAAAGTTGACGGGAACATTTGCGAGATGACAATCCCTTGTTGTTCCGATCGGGTGCTCAACAGTGCAACTTTGTTCGGTCGCACCGCACACCGCCCTGGTTCTGACAGGTCGTGGGGGGAAAACAACGTAGGCTGCCACCGAGCCTACCCTTCAACGAGAACCACGAACCTCAGCTTCCACCGAGCCTCCCCACGTCCCCGCCTCAACCTCGTGCCTCGCCGCAGCAGGAAGTGAAGGGTTTAGAGTCTTACCGTAATGTACCGGAACGAGAACAACTTGCACCATATTGCATCGCACTACGTTGAGCCTCTTTGAGTTTTCTCTCTCCACTTCCTGTTCGCAGTCGACGCGCGTCGCTTACTCTATTCTCACCCTGCTGGCATCAAGGCATGCTTCACTTCATGCAGGGTGAACGACATGTGTGCATTAGGGCGTGTGCCAAGAGTGCGTCTGAATGCGGCTGAATGGGGCTTTGTATGATTTAGAGCGGTCTTTTTGAGATTTAGAATGATCGGGTAGGGTATTTAGCAGAAATACGTACTTCCGAGACACACCCTCACTGCTCCAGTTGCTGACATGGCGCGGCGCCAGGTGCACGGTCGCTCGTGAAGTATTGTTTTGCGTGTCATTGCCCGTCCGCGACTTGCATCCACCTTGTATCGCGTACAATTATTACAACCGAGTGCATGAAGATGAACCTAACTTACGTGTACTACTCCTCGGCCGCACGTCAATCTCCCTTTGGTGGCGGAAACGTCGGCGCTCTCGATAATACAAACCTCTCCGTCGATAATAGCACTTTCCCCTCGATAATAGAACACCTCCCTCAATAGTAAAACCGCTCCCTCTCACTCGATGATAGAACATCTCTAATCCCTCTCACTCGATAATAAAAACGCTGTTTCCGACTTCCTGAACCGCGTCGTTCCCCGAGCCCACGCGGAAGGAATGGAGCGCGCCGCGGCGCAGCGGAGCCGCCACGTCCGCGTCGTCGCCCCCGCAGCCCCACGCTCTCTGCTGCTACCACCGCTGCCTCTCCTACTGCTGATGCTGCTGCTGCTGCAGTGCCCTCCCTGCCGGGCGGGCTCGGAATTGCAGCCTGTCAACGCCACGCAAGGTGCGGAGGAGCGGGTGTGGGGAGGGGGGAGAAAGGGGAGCGGTTGTGGGGAGAAATGGGGGAGACGGGGAGCGGGTGTGGGGAGAAATGGGGGAGACGGGGAGCGGGCGTGGGGAGAAATGGGGGAGACGGGGAGCGGGTGTGGGGAGAAGCGGGTTTGGGGAGGGGAAGAAAGGTCGGGTGCAATGTCCTTCCTGCCGGACCTGGGAGCCGCCACCTGTCAATGCCACGCAAGGTGCGGGGAAATAATGGGGGGGAAGGAGGAGCGGGGGGAGGGGGGGTTGGGAATGCGGGGAAAGGTGTCAGGGATAGTAGGGGAAGCTCTGCTACCGTGGCCCCTGGGCTGGTATCCGCGCGTGTCAACGCCACGCAAGGTGGGGGGGTGGGGTAAGGAAGCGGAGGGGAGAAGGCGGGGAGCGGGTGTGGGGTATTAGGCGGAAATGCCGCCACATCGGCCCCTGGGCTGGCAGCTGCCGC